ATGCAAATGTATGTACATACATGCACTAATTGTGCACACATATGTATAGTACAATCATGTACCCTTAAATACTTGCTAGGCTGTTCTATACCTGTGTATGCACTTATGTTCTATGTAATATATACTCATATGTATCTGTATATGTACCGTGCCTCTCTGTGTGTATGTGGAGCAGAGCCAAAGGGCTATTTCCAGTTTTGCTTAGTCATCTACACTTCTTTGGAGGCAACATGGCAATTATCTTGGTGACTCTGTTAATTTGGCAATTTGGAAAAGGCATGTTAATTGAGAGAATATTGGGAAAAGCTGAGAGAAACACATTTCAGGAGTCATAACAGAGAAATCAAGAGTATTATTTTTGACCAAGAAAATTTCTATGAATTTCTCTCAGGAATAAACCTGGAATGGGTTGCGAGATGGGCTGTCAGAGCCATTTCTGTAGGAATTAGAGAAAGCACTTTGTAGATCCCAACAAATATATAGCCCTTGAACCTCATAGTAGATGCTACAAAGTAGGGCTAGTCTTCCTCCACCTCAGAAGTCCTACCTTTCCATGGCTTGACAGAGTGTTCTGTTTGTGGCATGGATGAGTTTTCAGTGATTTGTGTTCAGGGAAAGTTAACCTGTGATTGTCTCAACATTACCAACTAGCAAGTCAGCTAACAGGTGCTTCCTCAATAATCAATAAACCTATACTATGTCTAGCTTCTGTCTAGTAGTCAAGAGATTTAGACTTTTATTTTCTTTGTCTGCAAGGCACCTATCTTTGAATGTACTTCTCTGTCCATGGTAAGAATTTCTGATTTTCTACTCTCAGTATATTCAAGGTGATCAAGACTCCTTTTCTATTTTTGTTGTTAGGTCAGTTTACACAAGTATGTGCAAATAAGCTTGGTATACATTTTGAGATAGGACTCCCTTGGGAGCAGACTCTTCTGGGATATAATACGATGTTGCCTGGAGTGTGTAACCAAGTAGCCTGGAAATAGGCTTCTTTTTTCCTGCTTGATAGGGCACACATGTACATGTATGCTTTGCCAGTTTTTCTACTCTGTGTATGTCTGCCAATTCTGTTTTCTTTAATTTTGAGGCTATGTAGACAAGTGGTTCTCAAACTGTGGGTTGCAGTCCCTCCAGGGACAAATGACATTTCACGGGGGTTGTCTAAGACCATCAGAAAACACAGATGTGTACATTACAATTCTTAACAGTAGCAAGATTACAGTTATGAAGTAGCAATGAGAATAATTTTGTGGTTGGGGGTCACCACAACATGAGGAACTGCATTAAAAGTTCACAGCCTTAGGAAGGTTGAGAACCACTGATAGAGACTGCCACAACAATGAAAGTATTGTAGTACTTTGGAGTTCCTCCTGGCAACTAGGGTATAGTGCAGAGATTTTTCCTGGTTCTTCTTGGGGGGCTATGTTTAACTGGTACTAGAACATAAATTAACACTGAAAATGTGTTTCCAGGATGAAAATTAATGAGTGAAAAGATGAATAAAGAATAAGGGAACAGAAGTGGGCACTAGGTTTGGCATCAAGAAATCAGTATTTGAAAGCATCTTTGACTCCTTAGAGAAAAAATAATTGAGAATTTCTTGACCATCCATTAGCCAAAATGAGGACACCAGGATCGCACTCCCACTGAGATCTTTATTAATTTAGGACAGTGCAGTGGGGCATGGAGAATTTGTTCTAGACTCTGTTGACAACTGTGAACCATCTCTTTAGTAAAATGTACATATTGAACATATACATGTTTTGCATATAATTTAATCTTAGGGAGAGTTCTTTTTAAATTTGTTTCATGCCAGTCCAGGAGAAAACAAAGAGGGAAGCGAATGAGCTAGAATCCGTTCACCTGATTAGTCAGTGTTAGTATGTTCCCCCATCCTGCCTCTCAAATTTAAAGAGTTAAAAACTGAAATGTAAAGAGTTCTTTTTCTCCTCCAGCTCATCCATGATCCCTGCAACGAGAACCCATAATTTAGATACGGTATTTGGAAGTAAAGTGGCAGAATGGGGAGTAAACTGAAGCTTAGAAAGTACAGTTCAATTTTAGCCCTGTATCTTCTTCCAACTAGTTTGTGAATATTTCACTTCTCCAGGTTTTGGTTTTCTCGTGTTTTATTTGTACTCTGAAAAGAAACCTCTGTTCTCTACTAAGTAGGTTTCTCTGAAGCCTTGTGGTGCTAATTTGATTCTAATGCAAAATGTTCTATGTGGTGGCTACAGCTATCTGGCATCTCATTTCCTTTTTCTTGTATAGCCCTCTCATAGATATTAAAGGGAGCTTCAGAAAGATCACTTGGGAAAGGGAGGGAACATATGAGAGGCAGGATGGGGGAACCTACTAACACTGACTAATCAGTGAACAGATTCTAGCTCATTCGCTTCCCTCTTTGTTTTCTCCTGGACTGGCATGAAACAAAAATAAACAGTTGTAGCCACCACAGGGAGGGAATCTGCCATGTGTTGGCTCTAGCATTATCAGTTTTTTGCCAGTATAGTACTAATATATTTTACCTTGCACAATACATGCTTGGAAAAAGGGAGTTTTGTTTTCTAATACCTGGTACTTTTCATTTAACATTAACTTGAAAGCAAATCACCCCAAAGCAATGTTCAAATGTCGTCAGACAAACCAGACATAGATAGTAAGAGGTGTTACCCTCTCCATCCCCAAAAATTATTTATGTCCCATTCTTAGGTTTATAGTCCAACCCCAATATCCAGGTTTGTACCTTCTTTACAGTTGTCCTAGCATGTGGTAATCCAGCTTAGTTTTTTTTTATTCTAACTAATAATTAATATCATTCTGTGGTAACCCATTGCATTTTTATATAGCTTTAATCTTAGGCAAAGATATACTTTGGCAGTTTATATCCTGAGCCATAGTGCTACTGTGTGAACTTGGTGAGTCAAGTACAAAGCCTTGAATTATTTTCTTTTTGCTCCAAGTGCTTCCCAAACACCATCTCAATCTTCACAGTCAACTCACAACATCACTCAAACTTAAGCTTTCCAAGGAAAGATCATGCTTTATCTGATTTGTTTACTTGTGTGAAGTCAGTCTTTAGAGCAATGTATGGGTAACATTAGACACTCAAAATTTGTTTCTTTTAAAGATATTTTACTGTTGTTATCCCCATTGTACAGATGAAGAAACAGAGATTCACAGAGGTCAAACACTGCTACAAGCTGCAGGGATACTTTAATAGGATCCAAAGGAATAAAGCCATTATGAAGAGGGTACCATTTATGTTCAAGAGGCTTTGCCTCATACCATACTACACCCAGAAGGCAACTCTCCATTCGACCTGTTCTCATGAGGGACACAGCCAAGGTCTGTTGCTGGGGCTGAAGGAAGGTAGTCTCATAGTCTTAGAATGCCACAGACAATTGGGCAGTGGTTATTCAAAATAAACAGTTTCTCAGGGGTCTTTTAGAGCAGTAGGTTGCATGAAAAACTGTGGCCATGGAGGAGGCCTCTAATTATCTCACTTCTAACTGAAAATGGTCAAAGTGTTAGGAGAAGCAGAAGCCACATGAACAAAAACCACAAACTAAACAAAAGCAAATTGAAGACAATGCCAATTCCCAATAAAAATAAAACCCAGCCAACCCATTAATCAAACAACCAAAACCAACCCAACCCAAAACAAACAAATAAAAAAAGTTACTAGCAGGAACAATGAACAGAAATTTTCATGAGGGTTTGTTTTACATTTCTCTGGAACAACCTGTACTGTTCGCCTATGTGTCCCTCATGGTACTTGTTGGAACATTACTGTATGTCTGAATAATAATGTCCAATTTCAATTATTGTTTTTATCTTGCAAACCTCATTTTCCTTGTAAATTCTCATCTTTTGCTGAACTCCACTGAATGAGACAATATCATTCCTCTTACTTTGGTTTTTCTTATTTTCCTTCTGAAGTCCCAAGTATCACAGTATTTTAGTTGACCAGAAGAAATATTTCTGATGAATGGAACATTTTTCTTTGGTAAATGGACACCAAACACCAACTTAAAACTAGCCAAATAAGTTTCTTTGGTAAAGTGAACATTAATGTCTTGGTTGGAATTAATTAAAAGGAAAAATCAATTTTTTTGCTGAGATCATTCCTTCCCTTTTAGCAATTTAAAAAACAAAACTTTATGAAGATGTAAAAATTTTGAGATATTTCTAAAGTGTCTTCTCCATGGTGGGGTTAGACCAGTGTTGTCAGAGCATAATCAATAATAAATATCAACATATACATAATCATTGCCTAACAAGAAATAAATCTTGGCATGCAGTCCTCCAATAGAAAAGTTCATTTCACAGTCAGAAGTCAGAATTTCATAACCCTTGATTTCAAGTGCTGAAAAGAGAAGCAGACAAGTTTGAAAGTGCCCTTCATGTAAAAATACAACATCTCAACATATACAGAGACTCAAGTTGGAAAACTACTATCTGTCATAAAACAAAGTGCCACAGTAAGTCATTCTGGTTGACCAAATTGATGATTAAATTCCCAACAAAATCCATTTAATTGGTGCATGTGTTGTGTCAGTTTTGTGAATTCACTAAGCTGAGGTGTTTCATGTGGTTGACACTAAATCAATGGCAGATTTAGAACACACTGTTCAGAAAATAGCTTAGCAGCATATAATTTAAGAATAAAACCAATCCCTTCTTCGGTTGCATTTTATAAATAATAGCCTAGTTGCAGGCCCATAAGAGAACATTTATTGAGAGAACATCTAATATGCAAACTTGCCCCTTTGTGAAGAATATACTTGTCTTTAGATGTAAGCTCCCATCTTCTTGTTCAGTGAACAACACATTGGTATGTCTGATTAGTGTGTCTGCAGGGGAGACTGAGCGAGTGTGTGTGATGCACTAGCTATAATCCCTAGCATATCTGTTAGAAATAGACAAAAGCACATGAGAGCGAAAGCACAGATTTTCACTTAGTGTAGTTACATCACAATCACAATCATTTTGGGTTTTTTTTTTTTTTTTTTTTTTTTGCTGTTTAGAATGAGAGTAGCCAACCTAAATCCAAAGAGTTTTCATTCCAGACATTAAAAATACGTTTGTTCCATGCCCAACGAAGCCTTATGTTCCTACCTTACATATGTATTTGGAAGGGGTAGTAGCTGCCTTATGAGAAAATCTGCAATTGCCTTCCCCCCATATTAGCCATGCTGAAATGATGGAACTCCACTAGTAGTGCAACCTGGGTAAGTTACTTCAGTTTTCAAGGCCCGCTTCCCCCAGTCATGCAATATATCTGCTAAGGTCCTGAAAGGTAACATTCCTTTTGGAAATGCTTACCATTATAGATGGCAAGGACGCTACATCTCTAAAAAGGAAAGGCATTATAGCTGTTTGCTTCAAATGTAACCCAGGGTTTGCCTTTATTTTATGGATTTAAAGAAATACAGGGTTCTGAGGGCAGCATACATATCCCCTTCAGATGAAACTGTCTTTGTTTGGATCTATGAATCATTGCCCTTGTAGATACAACTGTTGGACTGTATAAATATCTTGGCATGTTAGTGTATAGAGGGTCATATGATGAAGTAGAGAGATAGCAAAAGGGCATTTTAGGAAGGTGAGGTACAGCCAGTTTAGCAGGGAAGTTTGGCTGCTGTTGTGGATAGGTTTGTACTGGTGATTACTGTTATCCAGAAATTTTCAGCTACTTGCCTTTGAGCCCTTTATCTCCCAGAACTTTTATAAAGTGGCTCATTGCCAGGACTTAGACTTACCAAAGATATTCCTCTTCTCTACTAAATTAAGTAGAAGTCATCATTCTGGCACTTTTTGACCAATAATGATTTTAGTGTTTATTTTCTTTTCCTCAGATACATGGGCAGATGTTGTTTCTGGGCATGCATGCAAAAATGCGCATAGGGCCAAACCACCAACATCTGTACCAGACAGCTCTTTCTTTTTTTAATATTGAGTTACTCTGTAGTTTCATATAGATGACTGCTTTTCCTCCAACATGCCAGCCATTTGGACTTGACTCTGTGGCTTTGCACCCTTGGAAGTTCCTGACAAGAGCTGTAACTTATGAAGTAGACCCATCTGATGACAAGTAACAAGATATTCTAAAATAGAATTGCCCTAATTCTGTAGTGCTAGAGCTGTCAATGATTCCTGGGTGCATTAACTAAACCATACAGGTGTTAAAAGTGTATCAGCGGAGGAATATGACAAGTTCATTCACGGAAAAAAAAACTGGCTCACTTAAGTGAATTTGGGGTGACTCAATTTTAATTTGTGTATGATGTTCAGTCTACCACATCTGCTTCAGAGGTTCTGGCTTCCTTTTGCTGATGAGAACTTTTACAGAATCTCCTTGAGTGTTGAGGTGCTAAATCAGACAATGAAGATCTTAAACCACAGAACCTAAGTAGAGTTACAGCTCTGCAGAAGTGTAGGTAGCCTTGTTCTTTTGAACAATGCCTAAAGATATTTTTGTCATGGCCACTGACCTTGAAATCAGTTGCATTTTATTATAATACCAGTAACTAGTACAGTGTTGGTAAAATGGGATCCTTCTTATTAATCAACTTTCCTCTGTTTGATCTTATTTAAAACACTGAGTCCAGTGTGTGTGTGTGTGACTGTGTGTGTGTGTGTGTGTGTGACTGTGTGTGTGTGTAAGTAAATTCCTTTTCATAAGAACCCTTTGCTTTAATGATTTTAAAGATGCCATTCCTGTTATACTCATCTTTTACTTTTATATTTTTCAGTGTCTGTTTTTTTTTTGTCTTTTTGAAAACAGAGCAACTTTGACTATGCTTCACCAACATAAGCCTTTGTTCTTAGTAAGACCTAGGGTGAAAATATATGAAGCAGATACTATCACACTGTGGTAATCTGGTCAACAACTCGGGTACTATCAATATCCACCATTTCCACACACTCAATTTCCTCCCGGTTTTCAGGATTTTTCTTCTCTTTCCTTTTTTTCTTAGAGGGTGGCAGGAAAGTCAGTATCACAGGTAAAATGGCAAAGCAGTGAAAGAAGGTGACAAATGCTATTAAAAACAAGCACCTGAACAGTGTACAGGTCAGATTTGAAGGCACAGCTGCGAGAGGAAATAGACCAACAATATAACAGAGGTAACTCTGTAAAATAGCTACCCCATGCACTTCCAGGGCATTTTTTACCCATTTAGTTCTTGTAAAATCCTTGCCCAGGACAAATGTGGATAACAGTGGAGCACAATTGTCAATTGTGTAGTTAATACCATAGATTAAGCATAGCACAGAGATGCAGTCCAGTTCTACTTTCCATAATGTCATGAAGCCTATCACTCCAAACTCCACAGACACAACTGTTAGAGTGATCCAGACATTAATCATTGAATCTGCCACCAGGAATGCCGAGAAGAAGAGCAGGAACAAAGCACTGATGCAGGAGTTGTGCAGGGGGGCTCCCAGAGAGGAGGCATATCGATCCATAAACACAAAAGACGGATTAAAGACAATGAACTTCACCTTGGAGGTGACTGAAAGCCTCCTCAGGGTCTCCAAGAGATCATAGAGTTCTTCTCTGTTTGTGTCCATGGTCTTGGCCACCAAAAACATTCTAGAGGCCACTACATCAAACTCATCATTGTACTTTTTAGAGAAGATTATGTCCTCTTGAAAATGTGAAAACTGAGGAGCTTTTAGGAAAGAATTCCTCAACATGTCTGTGAAATTTTTCTTAGGCAAGTCAGTGGATATATTGAGTTTCCGAAGATAATTTAAGTAGCTTTCGAACCAGGATATCCGCACAAACCCCTTAGTGTACTCTAGAACATCTTCTTGGACGCTAGAGTTCCAATATTCTATGGACTCATATATGTAAAACCCAATAACAGGACTGTAGTTGCTAAAGTACTTTTGCTGGGCAGTAGTGTACTCAATGGTTTGTGTTGCAGTTGCTACGATGTTACTAAGGTCTGACCCTTCACTGACCTGCAGATAGCCCATTAAGGCAAAGGAAATATAAATAAGGTAAAAGAGGACTACAAAAGGCTTGACATAGGTGTTGGTTATCCAGTCACAGTAATACCGCTTGAGGAAACATACCAATAGGTGACTCTCATAAGTGTTTGCTTCCTCGCCTTCAGCTGTATCCTCACTGAATCTAGCTGTCAGAAGAAACCTATACCATGCTGGCTTCTCCTGCAATACCTCAGGCTTTGGAACTTTTCTACAGAATATACTATGCTGGTAATTGTTTTCTATGTAGCCAGTGAACACAAGGCTGGAACCATAAAATGAGAGTACATAGAGGTAGTTGAAGAGGATTGCAATACAGGAATTGCAGCAGAAAATCCTGGCTGCCTCGATGTTCGTGAAAGGGCTGGCCCCTATACCAAAGGTGACCAAGTACATGGCAGTGGTGAGAGAGAAGGAGAGCATGGAGTCTGCATAGACTTCTGCAGTTCGCTCTTTAACATGTTGGTCCTCTCTAGTTTTCCTCCACGAGGATAACATTTCAAAAGTCCCGTATAATCCATGACCTGAAGAGGCAGAAAAAGATGAGAGCAAAAGTTTTAAGGAACAAATCTTAGTAAACAAGGGTATAAATTTGATCACAAAAGCTTAATGGATCATAGTAAATATAACCAGCTTTAGTGGTAATAGGTTTGGAAAAGTCAGGGACTTTTCCTGTGGGAAGGAGACCTGTATTTTAAAGAATCCTAAGTGTTCACTGATAGTATCTTCTAGAATAGCTAGAAGAACAGAGGTCTTCATGGTTTCTACTAGTCTAAGAAAGCTGGAAAACTTTTTGCTAGCAAAAATCTGAGTAGACTTGGGCCTATACCTTTTAAAAGTTATATACATCAATAACTTATGGTTGTTGGTACAATTTGGCTGGTGGAACACTCCAGAGAATATTGCAGATACTGATCATTTTGCTTTATATTCCCATAGGCTCAAGAGGAAAGCAATGGGTAGAGTATTCCCAATCAGTGTCCAATACATTGTTTTAAAATTGGTCAAGCAGAGGGCTTTAGTGATAAAGAGACACTGTAATTAGTTTGAGTACTGACAGAAAACTAATTCACAGCCTCTTTTGTCTTTACTAAATATCACAACAGAAATTAATACATCTGAGAAACAGAGGAAAGCAAAATAAGTAGGAACAAGTTTGAGTGGAGAATAAAGAAAGAAGAAAAATAAAGACAAAGCAAAACAAGATTCATGTGAACCCTCACTGTTATTGCTAAAAGTGAAATTGGATTCAAGATTTATGACCTGAATTTGTCTTTAGGATTTTTTTTCACCAACTCTAGTTGTTCACAGATCACATATCAAGTATACAGTGACTCTGCTATCTTCATGATACTAGTTGGCAGTGGCACTTTGATAACAACTTCCCTTAACTGATTAAGAATCTCAGCTCCCTATTTAGGATTCCAGCAACATTGGGGTGGCATAGGTACAGTGACTGCCCATGTTGTGATTGCATGCTGCTTCTCAGAAGTTTGAGCATGCCTTCTTCACCTCTTGTGGTTGGAACTAAACACTTCCTTGCTGTACTTCCCTGAACATCGAAGGCACATTAAAAAAAAAAAAACTTGCCAAAATGACACATGGTGGCTTCTGATAAACCCTGTCTTGGCACTGGGATAGAAGATCTAATTGTCTTTGTCTATACCTTGGCAAATTCAGTTCCATTACCGAGGATAATACCTTATTCTGATGTGATATACTTGTTTTGTAAAGAAGGAATTTAAAATAGGCAGCCGTGTATAATGTGAACGAAGTGAGTCACCATTATCTTGTATGCAAAATAACTGAGCATATGTCTCACCTTGCACCCAGCCTGGTATTTATATCCTTATTGTAAAGCCCTGACCTCAAACCTGAGTACAGATTATATGGTAATGATACAGGCAGGCCTGTTTCCTCCGAAGGGTTTGGCATTCATCTTAATTTATTAGACATCATTTTACAGCTGCTTTTAGAGGTCAAACCAAGACTTTTGATTTGATTACTAGTACCATGGCCCCTATTAAATTGGAGCACCTAAATTCCCCAGATATGAAGTGAAAGTGTATTGTTGACTGGCATTCTGCTGTTAATTATGTTTTAGGCAGTTAACAATGTCTAGTCTCAAAAGGGAAATCTAGTTATTAAAACTGTTTTCAGTTTTCTCTGGATGGACTGACCAACCTTTGATTAAAAGCAAACTAATCCTTGTCAGTAGGTAATAAGAAGACTAATGCCTAGGAGACATCGGTGCCCTGGGGAAATAATACTGACCAATTTATCTGGGACCAAGAAGAACAAGTAAGCTTTGGAAGGTAAGCACATCTCGAGAATTGCTGGAAAGTACAAATAGTATTTAGATTATTTACTTCCTGCAAGCAAAACTACTTCAAAATAAGACTTTAGTATGGAGTATTTAAATATGTCAGGAAATAAAAAAACATGTAGCAGAATCAGAGCTACTCCTATAGTAGAATTTTAGTGAAAATTAAATATGAAACTGAATATGAAATTAAATTCAAATTTAAACATAAAATTAGTGTGATATTTTATAACGGTATTATCTGGCCCTGATACTTGTTGGACAATACAATAGGAATCCATTTCTTAGTGTACTGTTGAATAATCATAGGAGGTGAATGAGAAAAGCAATTTGAATTAACAGAACAAAAAGGTGATAAGTAAGGTTCCAAGATGAAAATAATCACACTCAAGAGAAGATGAAAATACATGAGTTCCTTTGCTGTCTTTTAAATATCCCTTGTATATAGTTGGATCCTTTGCATTGAGTTCTGAGTCTTTTTGCATATGGTATTGCCTCAAGGGGCGCTTCTGAAGAGAATTTTAATTTTATTCTCAAGAGCTCTTGGAAACCCTCCCCTCTTTTTCCCTTCCTCCTCCCCACTCCTCCTTTCTCTGTGTATGAAGGTCCTCACAGATGTTAGAAGATGCAATGAGAAACAATCTATTCTATCTGATCACTCATTTGTTGCTAGTAATCAATGGCCTTTTCTGTCACTACTCCTGGTATGCTAGAACCTTGTTTCTCCACCCACACCTGTCAATCAGATTCCTGGACTCTTAACTCCAAATTTTAATTGTATAATATCTTAAAAGGGTCCTTGAATTTCTGTGATAATTGCTGATGCCATAACTCTTTTCTACACTTCAGTCAGTCAAGGGATAGATGAGTGCCAAGAAAGTTACAGGCAACTCTTAGGGATTTGTTAGCAGCCTAGAGTGCCTGGCTGGCACTAGACTCAGGTTACAGCTTCATGTTTATGCTTAAGAGGTTGGCTTATTATCTTAAAGGGAAGATAAATTGTGGGAACCCTGTTTCCTGGCTTGTGCTCAAGGAGAAACACACTCTAAGAGCCCATAAAACACCCCCCTCCTACAAATTCCTTCTATGTCTGGAATTTACAGTTGTATTTCCTTTAGTTTTGACATTTAAAGGTATAGTCTTAATTACAAACTGCTTTGGGACAATGGTCTATGAAAACAGCTTCCCTTAGATTGGGGAAACTAGGACAGAAATTGGGGCTGTCTGAAGAGTAATTAGGAGCATTTCACCACACAGTGGCATCCTTTCCTTCTGCTGCTAGCCAGCTCTGGCTTTATTTTGTACTGCTACTCTAGCAGTAAATTGGGCAAGTTAGAGTTAGGGCAATGTGGAGGTGTGAGGGGTAGTTTTTTCATAAGATCCCTTCCATTCCACTTTCCGCAAACATAGGGTGAGTCCATTCTTTAGTTCTCTTAGGAACCTTGGAGGCCAAATCTTACAGGGTGCAGTCTAATGTACTGCCTGTGGGCTGAAGCCAATTTTCTGAGATTTGAGTATTATTTTCTTCTTTTTAGAAAAGATGTTTTAAGAGTAAATGGTACTGTTGTTTGCTTTGTGTCTAATTTAAAGCTGTGTCTGGGGCTGGCAAGGTCTCTAGTTAATAACAGTGTCCACCATCGAGCCTGATGACCAAGTTCAAACTCCAGAACTCATGTGGTAGAAAAAGAGAACTGAGTGACACAAGTAGTCTTCAGACTTGCACATGCTTGCTATAGCTGCCTTAGAGATTACAAACAACCCGGAAGGCTTTGGAGAGAGCCCAGACAGGTGGAATTTAATTTGTAAGTATGCCTGAAAGTCACCTTAAATGACTGGAAGATGTGTGTGTGTGTGTGTGTGTGTGTGTGTGTGTGAGAGAGAGAGAGAGAGAGAGAGAGAGAGAGAGAGAGAGAGAACTTCCAGGGGTTTGGAACTAATGAAGAGAAACAGCAGCACAGATGATAAATAACACTAATGGTAGAAGAAACTCAGCTAGCTAATCCTCCAGTCACTTAGGATGACTTTCAGGCATACTCACAGATTAAATCACACTTTCACCCAAGCTCTTTTCTGGGGTACAGCCAAAGCCTTCAGGGTTGTTTATAATTTACCAAGGAAGGAATTCACTAGCAAATAGTGGAGAGTTAACTCTACCCAATAGATATACTTCTAGAAACTTGTTCATAAAGTGAATCATGTTTTGAATTTATTTAATGGTTTTCTATGAGAGACCTTCTAGGAGATTTGGTTTTGCCTACATGATTTGTCAAAGACTAACCATGAGGACTGATTCCTTTACATTGCTGGATTCAGTAAGTTTTGTTTTTTCCCAGTTACATATTTCCCTACTTTCCCCAGTTCTCACAGGCACATGAGAGGCATGGACTGATGCCTTTGGATGTTACTCGTGTTTTAATTCTTTCCCTATTAGTAGCATTTCCTCAGCTTGGGATTCTTGGGGAATTACTAAGAAGATAAGTTACTTGGGTGGCTTACTGGTAGATCATCTTTACGTTCTAATATGAAAACATTAACATCAGGAGCAAATGAAGTCACTTATAATGCACATGTGTAATGCCAGCTTTCGTATATGGAAACAGAACAAGTACATTAACGTAAAAACATTTCCATAGATTACAATGGATGAAGAAATTCTATGTAAACATATTTTACTCTTAGATGAATTTCATGAAGTAGTTCGTGTTTACAAAATGCTTTTCTTCAAGGTATCTGCATAAATTCATTATTTTTGTTGTATCAAAAAGAAATTTCAAGCATATATATTTCTGGATTGACTAACACCTATTCTCAGGGAGCAGTTCACTAATGGGGTTACATTTAAACTTTGTCAGTTATAAACATTTACTTTACAGTATGAATTGTTAGGCTTTTTTCAGCCTGTTTTGTCTCACAGTTAAGAGTAAGAGTAAAAGTGTACTCTACTTAAGTAAAGACAGATGCTTATGTCAGGGAGGGATATATACATCTTAGTCTTTCTACTATAGAATTGACACATATTGGTTGTTCTAATCTCAACATAGGGTTTGAATCTGAAAAATGCTATTCCTTTGCTAGATACTGCATACAAATGTCCAATAAATTTTTTGCTAATAGATTTTATTAAAGATAGAGTATTTAGATAATATATGTAAATATATTACATGAAACCAGAATATATAAATAAGGTCAATAATATATACT